GCGGCGCCGGAAGGTGTACTTCAGCAATGTATGTGAGCCTGTAGCCCACTCAGATCAGTAAAGGTGAGCTCGCAGTCGTCGCTGGGGCAAAACAGCTGCGGGGGGTCGCGCGCATCGAAGTTGTAAACCGAGCGATGTCTCAGACAGCGACCTGAACGATAAGCAGCAGCAAGATGATTGATAGCAGTCTGTCGGCTCGCGAATGTCGATCGGCAGTTTGGGCATTGGTTCGTGATCGTGAATCGAGTGTGTTCGCATATTCGTCCATGTTCGCCTCCCTCCCCACTCATAATCTGGTGGATTCGGAGCGCTTGTTTTGTTTCGGCAGTGAACAGGCATAGCGCGCCATCTTCACACAAGAGGCCACACGTGTGGGGGCTACTCCAAGAGACTGTTGCATCTGGAGCACTGCGTGGTGGAGGTGCAGGCTGCTCTAGCCACCACTTGCGCGCACGTGCGATCGTGAGCTTGACAAAAACATCGCGACCAGGTCTCGGTCGAAAAACATCGAGCAGATCATATCCAATAACATCTAGACATGCACGACCGTCAGCCAGTACTCGCAAAAGCTCCATATCTTCAAAAAAACTGTTTGCGCCACGGGTTATGTAGATGTGTGGGGCTTGCGCCGTCAGAGCGCACAGGGGCCCAATCGAAGATCATCGTCTCCGTGGTCTCACAGAGTAGCTTCCAACAGTTGAGCATGGTGTGCAGGTTCGCGCGCGACACGTTGCCATCGTTTAATACGCATGATCTGTATGTCCAGCGACGGCGGAACCATCCTCAGCTTCTTTCAGACTGCAATAGTTGGGATCGTGCGTACGACCTCGATCGTGCCAGAGGGGTCATCGATATCGGTGCACTGCTTGGTGCATGCCGTGCCTTGAAGGAGTGAGCGGGCATATCTTGCAACACAGGCATTAATCTGAGCAAGGTGAGCTTGTGTCAGCACTCTAGCTTCCAATCCTGAGGCAGCAGCGGACAGAACTTGACAACGAAAAACCGTTTTGCGTCGTCCAAGATATCGGCAGTTGTTCCAGAAGCGTCCCATACTGCGCCATCCACGTGCTGCGGCAACACACCGTGCTTTGGTCTCGTCGTGGTTGTGGCCGTTTGCCTGCATGAGCGATCCGAGGAACAGTGTGGAGGAGTGCACTTCGCCATCAACAGGTACCTTACCATAGTGCAATGCCCGCGACGACCTGCGGGCCCCAGTGCCAACAAAAGAAGGTAGAGCAGCTTTCTTTCCCGCGTTCTGCTGGAGGTCGATCGTGCTCCGCTTGTCGTTCAGGACCTGGTCGGAGTACTGTACTTTGTAGGCCGCCATCCTTGCATCGTGACAGAGATGTGTCTTTGTGAGGTCGTCGGCGTACTTGCGAAGGCTGAGGTCAACATTTGTGCCGCTGAACTCGCACCCTGCAAGCATCGAGGAACTCGCATCGGGCGCGAGCGCGCCATTCCAGGCAACAGTAGGCGACACGAAGGACACTCTGAACTTGATCGCAGCGTTAGCGTCGCCCATGAAGCAGCCGACGGTGTTCTGGTAGCCTTGCGTGTCAGTGCCGTCGCTGATGACGCAGGCCGCTCGACGATGTCTCCCTTTCATAATCGTGCAATCTCAAGGCAGATATATCTTATCAATCGCTTCATCGAGGAATGTGTGTTTCACTGAGGCAAAGGCGTTCGTCATGTCATGCTTTGTAGTGATGTGGCTTCTCTGCAACTTTGCGAGTCTCCACTGAAGTGCAAGCCCGGCTGTGATCGCCGCTGATCGTGATCGTGGTCTCGCGTAGCCGTGCTCTGAGTCGTCCAGCGGGGTTGTGGTCAGCAGCTGTCGGGAAGCCACCCAGGTCTTTCCAAATGTGCATAATCCGTGGAGAAGTCGGGTACCTCTGGTACGCGGCTTTTTTTTTTTCATCTTGCTAACCTGATAAGTCTGTGAGAGATTCCACCGAGCATTGAGTCTCTGATGCTGTCGAACGGCAGCGAGTTGCGCGAGGATCGCATCGCCGAGGAGGGGGCCAGGGAACATCATCGTTCGGTCGAACTCGCGGCAGCCGTCTTTTTTGCGATCCTCGCTTCGGTCAACAAGTAGAAGTGTCCATAGATCAGCAGGTAGCGACCATTCGGGTGCAGCTCGTCGTCGTTTGCAGTGCTTTCGCAGCCGGCGCTTGATCGCATCAAAGTCGTACTTCGCATGTCGCCACTGGTGTCCAGAGGGGCAGAAACGCCCATCATTGGCTGCTGCTGTGTCGATGAAGTGGGAGATGTCAATAGGGGTGGCTTCCATGCCACCTTCAGCACCTGGAAGGGCCATATCTTCAGTCCATGTCTGAACGCAAGGTCGGGCATCGGGCTGGTCGAAGTAGCACCGCTTTCCAGGGCCTTTCTACCGTTACCAGCAAGTTTTCTGCACGTTTTCCATACTTCTGCCTCGAGTCCAGTTTCATCAGCTTGTTGTAGCTCGTGAAAGTGTTGCTCATCACGAAGGTCGCGCAATCGTCGTCGAAGTTTTTTGCATGCGGCGCTGCAGCGTCGGAGTATCAGGGTGCTCTCGAGGTCTTCTGTGAGGTTCTGCCGAGCAAGGGTACGATCTCGTAGTGCTTGTCTGCGCTGATTGGCAAGCTGCTGGTACTCTAGGTCGATAGGTGACTTCTTAGCCTCAAAATATTCAAGAGCTCGTGCGCGTATTTTTGCTACAAGTATTTGCCATCCAGATACCATGGTGTGTCTTTCTGCCCAGTCAGCCATGTCACGATAGCCGTTCTCATTGAGGTAGTTGGAGAGATCCGTCTCTATGTCGTCTCGGAGCTGCTTCGCCCAGTCAAAGAAGCGCTCGTCCTTCCAAGCGAGGAAAATGCGGGTGTAGTCCCACTGCGGCGGGAGCTTCGGCTTATCGAACGTGAGTGTGCATTCCACGTCAATATAGAGCATCATGTGGTCTAGAAGACGTTGTGATGGGAATGATCGGAGTCGACTGGTAAGCCGATATGCAATGTTGTGCCGTCGTACTCTTGGCAGATGTCGAATCGGCATTACGATATAATCGATGTAGCTAGTATGTCCGCGAAGTCCATGATACGTGGGTCCACAAGGGTGATGAGTATTCGTAGCACACAGGGCGTAGTCAGTCATGAACGTGTGGAACGCTTCTCCTGCATAGTGCTGCTGGCCGTACGCGTGCGCACCGACGGTGGCGTCGTCCTCATCCGTGGGGTTTCGCTCGAGGCCGCCGTTCAGGTCGGTTCCGATGAACACGCACGTGCGATTCGGCAGGTTCGATAGGATATCATGCAGGTAGCTGATCATATTGTCAACAATGACTTCGTTCTTGGACGCGGCCGTGATTCGCTGTGAGCGAGGAGGAAAATATGCTGCGATGAAGGTGTAGTCGAATTGTGAGCTCTTGACGCGAGCGGCGCCAACACGGCCGCGTAGTGCTGCTGGAGGTTGCCAAATTTTCACGATATGGGACTTGCGAAACCATCTGCGATTCAACCAAATCTCTGCGCCACAAGATTTATTACCAGTAGAATTTCTGTTACTGCGATGCCAGCCGAATTTCAGCATGAGAAACTCAGGCGACGAGTGGGTCTCGTAGGCGGTCATGGTCTTCGTCTGTGTGCCTGAGAAGAGCACTGCATCGATGTGCTCGAGCTCCCTGGATATCTCCAGGCGCTTGTCGTAATCCTGCAGAGACATAGGATTCCATGAGATGAGACGCATGTAGACCGTCAGTGTGTGACTGAAAAGCCCGACTTTCAGGACAGGGGGATCGTCCACGCTCTGGAGATCTCAGAATTGCTCGAGCCAGAGCTATATATATATATGTATATATATATATAGTGAGATCGATCGTGATATCGATAGTGAGATCGATAAGTGAGATCGATTGTGGGATCGATCGAGTGGGATCGATAGCGAGATCGATAGTGGAATCGATAGTGAGATGAATAGTGAGATCGAAAGCGAGATCGATAGTGAGATCGATAGCGAGATCGTCAGTGGGATCGATAGCGGGATGGAGCGAGCGGCAACGCAACGACGATCTCCACTGGCATCGTCAGAACAGCAATCACCATTGTTGCCAATTGCTGGCCCCCTCCCCCCCAAACCTCCTTATCACCCGCAGGGTGGTCGTACAGGCGTGTACACATATATATATGTACAGATAGATGTATATGTTTGCGTCTCCTGACGCCGGCAAGACCAGCTATCGGCTGTCCCAAGATGGGGCCCTGAGGGATGGGGCCTTGGGTCACAAGTTGAACCTTCACTTCTCGAGGTTCTCGTCCTCGGGGCCAATCTCTTGGGGTCCCACTCTGAACCGCCCAAGCTACGTGGGCTGATTCGCCAGCCCTCTGCCGACCCCCTGGGCTTTGAGATTCTCGTCCTCAGGGCCCCACCTCTCGGGACCTCGGTTTCGAGCTGATTCGCTGACCCCCCCTCCTTGCTAACCCATTACTGATCAGGGATTCCTGTGAGCGGGTAAATTCGGCGGGGAAGAGCGGAGGGCAATCCGCACCGGCAGCAGCGGGAGCACGAGCGGCAGGAGCACGAGCCATCTGCCCCGCTGGCCCGGGCCCCGTCGAAGCCACACGTCAAGCAGGGATTCGACCACGGGGTCGAGCCTACGGAGCACACGTCGAGTGCTCCGTAGATCTATGGAGCATCCTAGGCATTTGTCCTGGATATCGGCGGGGAGCAGGGATTCGACCACGGGGTCGAGCCTCTACGGAGCACACGTCGAGTGCTCCGTAGATCTACTGAGCATCCCAGGCGTTTGTCCTGGATATCGGCGGGGAGCAGGGATTCGACCACGGGGTCGAGCCTACGGAGCACACGTCGAGTGCTCCGTAGATCTGTTGAGCATCCCAGGCATTTGTCTTGGACATCGGCGGTGGAGTCAATGTCTGGGGGAAGCAAGTTTCTGCCATCGATCCCCGACCCGAATTCCTGGACCCCTGGGCGGCGGACCTGGAGCCTGCTGGCCCGGCCAGGCGCCGGAGCGACGCCGCGGCGCTGCTCGAGGAGGGCGGCAGCGGCGCGTGGACGTGGCGGGCGGCCTGAGGCCGCCCACCGAGCTCGGCGCCACCGGGGTGGGTACCCGTGGACAAGACGTAAGACTGGGTAGTCGAAGGCCAGACTGTCAGACTGGATTGGGCCCCAAGGGCCAATCTGGCCTGGCCATGTTGGAGGATTTGGGGTCATTCGCCGGTCTGGATTCGCGTTGGCTCCCTCGCCAGATTGCCCCCGTTTGCCAGATTGGGCCTGCCAGATTGGCGCCAGATTGGCTTCGACTAACCCCAGGAAGCATTTAAGAACCCCCCCCCCCCTCCGGCAAATCGATAACCCTTCCGCACCCTGGAAGCGTTACCTGGCACCAGGAGCCTCTCCTTGTGTCTGGGTGCTACAGCTATCGTTCGGTTATTTCGGCCCCTCGGAATATCGAATAAAAAATGCGGTGCTACGATATCGCCGGGGGGGTTCTTAAATGCTTCCTGGGGTTACCCAGTAAGAGTGACCTCCCGCTGGAGCGACCTTTGGTGCGGGCCCAAGGGGGCCCCCCGATCGCCGGACGCGATGCGGTGGCAGCGTCTTGCGCGCTCGTGCTCGGTCCCCCCCCCCCCCCGCGGCCCCCGAGAACGCCGGGCACCAAAGGCCACTCTTGCCCAGGGTCATTCCTGCGGCCGTCGAGGCAGGATCGCGGAGGTCGAGGAGGGACGACAAGGGAGGAGGGAGGAGGAGGAGGAGGAGGAGGAGGAGGAGGAGGAGGAGGAGGAGGAGGGGAGGAGGAGGAGGAGGAGGAGGAGGAGGAGGAGGAGAGGGGGAGGAGGAGGGGGAGGAGGAGGAGGAGGAGGAGGGGGAGGAGGAGGAGGTCGGAAGAGGGCCCGTCGAGACAGCGGCGGTCCTCCCTGACCTCGTTCGTCCTCGCTTTGCCTCCCACAGGGGCTGCTCGTCGCCGCGGCGGGGTGCGCGGCCGAAAACGGGCCAGGATGGGCCCTTGGAGGGGAGGAGGGAGGAGGGAGGAGGGAGGAGAGAGGAGGGAGGCCCACAGCTCCCAAACGTCTGGATGCACACGCCTTTGAAACACAGTCTCGGCGGCGTGCCCATGGAGGGGTTGTGGGGCCGATTTTGAGCGGACTTGGGCCAGGCGGGAGGGCCGTGGCAGTCTCAGTTGGCCCTCCTCCGGGGGATGGGCAGTGCCCAGTAGTGGCGATCAGCTCCCATGGAGATAACCACCCTTAGCCAGTCCAGGGTTGGCCCCAGAGTTCGGCGCCACCGAGGTGGCACCCAATAGTTAATCAACGGGTACCAGGGAGTTGGAGATGTACATGTGGCCCAGCCGCCAGGGGGAGAGTCGGATACACGTGTGGCTAGATTGTTTGTCCAGCGCTCGGCCCTCCGGATGTCCAGTTGCGCCGACTTTTCAGGCCCCCGGAGACCAGGACACAGATAAACCAGGAGACGGAAAACCAAGGAAACGATTTCCTTTCCTGCAAAGTCACGTTTTTCAGTACCCGTGCATTTTTTGTTTGCTGCACTGCAGGACTCGGGTTTGCGTCCGGGTTTAGGGGTGTCTTGCAGGTTTCTGGGGCCTGAGTCCGGGTTTATTCTGGAAATGTTGCAGTGCAGTATTTTGTTCGCGCCGCCGTTTGGGAAAATTGGTTTCGAGGGATGTTGGGTGTCCGGGTCTAGCGTGTCCAGGTCTACGGGGCCCTGAATTGTCCACATATATATCCAGCGCGTGGCCCTTCATGTCCAGACGTTCCACGTGTGAGCCCAGCCATGTGTGCTTCCAGCTTCCTGGTACCTCGGCACTGCACATGCAGGTGGCGGGAAGATAGCGGGAAGGCGCCCGGTGATGACGCAGCAGCGTGCAGGAGAGCGCCGCTCCCCCCGCATCGATCCGGGTCTGGAACGGCAAGCAGTCACAGTGACAACGACGTGCTCCAAGATTGCCAGCTTGCCTTGCTGCCCCGCGGGGCCAGGAAGAATGGCCGAGCACGCGCGGCGGAAGGCCGGCAGAGAGACTCCAGAACTCCCAGAACGCGTTCTCAGCCGGTCGCATCATGACACTGCAGTCGTCCTGTCTGAGCCTCGGGTCCGCCGAGCACCCGTCCGGGTGGCGCCGAAGAGCGCGCGCACGCGCCCACAGTGCGTGGCCACTGGGGGGCCAGGAACAATTAGAAACGAGCACAACTACAAACGAGCACGATTAGAAAGGAACGACGCGTACACCCGCACGAAGCCTCTCTGAGGCCATGGTTCGTGTTCGTGGATGCTGCAGCTGAGGCTAACGCAGATTACTGTCGCTGGACGCGGCGGGGCCGCTGCCCGCCTCCTGCGCGACCGCTGCGAGGAGGCAGGGCGCGCCGCCGCGGGCCCCCCCCGCGCGGCGCGCCCGGGGCCCGACGGCACGCGCGCAGAGACAGGGCAACGGTACTTACGGTAGGTTTGCGTCGTGTCGACCAGCGGCGACCCCAGCGCGGGCGTTCCAGGTTGAACGCCGCCGGCGGCCCAGAATCGATCGATGTTGAACGATCGGACGTTGCGGCAGCGGCCGATCGTTCAAGGTTGAACGATCCCTGCGGTGTCAAAAACAAACGCTGGGGTCGGCACGACACGAACCTGCCGTACGCGCGTCCACTGCCTCGGGCCTGGCCCATCCTGGGCCCAGGAGCGGGGTAGATGCATCGCTGACCACAGCAGGAGGGCGTATGCACGGTTCCTGAGCCCAGGGTGAGCCAGGCCCGAGGCAGTGGATACGTAACGTGTAGATCCCGAGCCAAAGGGGGGCGGCCTTCTCTGAGGAGGCTGAGGGGGCTCGAAGTCTAGGCCTCCCAGGTGGGGTCGGAGGATAGCGCCGCATCGCCAATGCATCGCCGATGCGGCTCCATGTGCAGCCCGATTTCCTCCACGCCGACGTCGCTGACGCATCGCCGACGTCGCCGACGTATCGACGATGCGGCGCGCCACACCGGCCCCATCTACTCCGACCCCATCTAGGAGGCCCCTTACGAAGGGGGTGGGCTCCGGAGAAGGCGGGGCTATGTCTTGGAAGGCCCTCTCTGGCCTCCGAGAGGCCTCCTTTCACGAGACCCCCGGAGCCTTCTGCGGAGCCCCCCCCCTGCCTTCTGAGAGGCCTCCCGCAGGGCCGCCCCCTTCGCGCCACCCCTCTGAGTGCGCCGCCGAAGGGCTGCGCTCGCCGCCTCCCGGATGCCCTGCGCGGCGCCGCGCATTTTCGGGCTCGGATGTGTGTTTTTTTCCCTGGGCGGCCTGGCGTTGCCAAGGGTGGCCCTGGCCCAGTGAGGGCCGAGGGGCCCCTGGATCTGGACCTCCCACTGGGCTCCGGGTCCTGCTGCTCCTCCTCCTCCTCCTCCTCCCCCCCTCCTTCTCCTCCTCCTTCTCCTCCTCCTCCTCCTCATCGTCCTCCTCCTCCTCCTCCTCCTCCTGCCCCTCCTCATCCTTCCTCCCTATCGCGCCGCACCGCCAATGCATCGTCGATGCGGCGCGATTCGGAGCCCGATTATTGCTATTCCCACGTCGCCGATGCATCGGTGATACGTCCAGGATGTAACGCCTCCTCCGACCCCATCCGCTCCGCTATAGAGTACCCTGCCGGAGGCCCAGGGCAGAAGGAGGGGGGGGGGAGGCCCAGGGCAAGGGGGGGGGGGGGCCAGGGGCTCGAGGAGCGCGCGAGGTGTGGAGACCACGACAGACCCGGAGCTCCCCTGGCAACACCCCAAGGCGGAGGGAGCCGTGGGCCGCGCGTGTAGTCGGTCGCTTGGCCGTTGCGTCATTCTCCGTACGGCGATCTGTGTGTCCGCAACCAGAAGAGAGAAGATCGGGACGATCGAATTGGGTACGAACGAATGGGTACAGAGACCGACAGCAGTTCCTGCTCCTTTTGAACAGGATTCGTTGTCGACGTCGCCGCGGCCTGTGCCCATTTGAAACAGAAGGCCGCCTGCCTAGCAGCGGCCGCTGTTGAATTGGAACAGCATGTGTTGCTGGGCAGTGTTCCCAGTTTCCGTACCCATGTCGGGCGGCCAGAGAAGAGAGTTTGTGGAGAGGCCGATGGGAACATGGGCGGCCGATGGTGCGCAACATGCGGGCGTTGTTTGGTAGTCGGCGCTCGCCAATTTGAGTGTCGCGTGGTCGTCACTGCTGCGGCCCTTGACTGCTGAGCAGTTCGGTACATTTCAGTGTCCGAGTTTCCATTGTCTTATTCATTTGGATGCATATCATTGTAATCCGTTGTTCTGCAACAGTTTCGAACACAGAAGCATTCACAATCGGGGGAGGGGATCCACCCGGACTCCCAGACTCCCAGTGGATAAGACCACCCGCGGCCGTTCAATTTGTAAGTGAGCTAGGATGATTATGCCCTACAATCACACGGTCAAAAACGGTAAGGTCGGGCCGAGGTCCCGGGTGTCCCGCCAGGACGTAGTTCGGTTGGAGGATTTGCGTCTTGGATTAGAGAGTACGAGACGAAATATGACGATCGTAGGGTCAATGGTCAGCCCATTCGGCTTGAGAAACACCGTCTGGATGATCCCAGACTGACGAAATCTAGTGTTGCCCGCTCGTTGTCAAGATCACCTGCGGCTGTTCCATCTGCAAGTGAGCCAGGATGACGATGCCCGACCGAAGTGAAATCGGTATAGAAGATGCTGGAGGGGTCAAGGAGACGTAGCCCACGAAGGGAGGGGAAGAACGCCACGGAGGTGTCGCCCGAGCCAAAGTGGTCAGTGGCGCAAGACGGGCGGCCAAAGACCGACGGGATAAAGCATTGCTACAGGAGGAAGACGAGGGAGGAGCGGGTGTTGTTACCTCCAGAGGTAGCGTTACCGTGTTCGGAACGAACATGGATTTTATAGTTGCATGGGAACCGCGCATTGGGTTCGATTTCTGACCCAGCTGAATTCGGTGAATAGTGGGCGATTGGTTGGCAGTTCTACGCGTCCAACGCCTTGAGCATTTTGAGATTCGCGGCGTCTCCCAGAGGGATATGTGAGCAGGGACCGACCAGTCGGGCATCCTATGACAACGCAATGTTGCAATCGGGATAGTTTGCCCTTACTTGGCTCTGTGAACCAAGAAAGGCTGTGGCTACCATGAAACTGACGTCACAGGGAATTGTGTCTTACATGCTAGGCCGAAAAAATAAGTGCATGTTGAACAAAACACACATCTCCACACCAGCAAAATACACAATCGGATAGGCACTTCTAGACCACAATGCTAGTAGGCCACGTCTTTTCAGGTTGTGATTCCTTACGGTAGTATTGGATAATATCAGCGGCCAGCTATTATTTCGTGGGCGCCTATTGGATGGGGGCGAGGTGTAATGTGGCGTGTGGCGCTGACGACAATACGCCTGTTACAACGCATCCAGGGCACGTAGCAGCAACCAACGCCAATGTTTGCGCCATGGCCACCCGATCAGGGCACAATGGCCGTATCAGCATGGCAATGTGTCATTTCAGCCGCACCATGGGGCAGCGGAAAATTATCCAAGCAAAAAAGAATGACGCAACTATGTTGACAACAACAAGTTAGCACGAGAGGTTTTTAATTAACCTCTTCGCAATAATGGCAAATCGTTACGCCGCCCCCCCGTCGTTGTTTTTTTTGTTCCCCCGCGCCAGCTCCCACTCTTTCCCCACGAGTACCTCGGAAGTGCACGCCCGAAAACCGAAGGTGGGTGAAACCCAGCGGGCGGGACACAGCTTTCAGCAAAGCAGCGTCAAAGAAAGGAGGAGGAGGAGGAGGAAGAGGAGGAAGAGGAGGAGGAGGAGGAGGGGAGGAAGGGAAAATCACACGACCTCCAGGTCTGTAAAAGGTGGCGTGGGTTCCAGCTGCACCTCAGGCAAATCAGCCACTTCCTGTAAAATGGCCCGGGCTACGGCTGATTGGAGAGCAATTCCCAGAAGACCCCACCACCGATGTAGATAACCTAAGGTCGCGCCCCGCCGGATCCTACCATGTAAGCCTCGGGAGTGCTCGCGCGCCAGTTCTGAGACAATCTGCATACTCTGGGCTCCTCATCGGCCGAATACTTCTGAGCCCAAGCAGAGCAGAGATCCCAATTCACTTTGGTAGTCCCCATTATTTTGTCTGTTCAGCTTGCTCCAAAAGCGCACCCGCACGATTGCTAGTCCCACCTCTTGGTTGCCCATTCCGTGAAATAGGACTGACAATAGTGACGTCGCAAAACAGCGGAAGATTTCTGTGCACAGTAAGACCTGGAACCACAAGAGCGGAGGTCCCCTGGCGGCGCACTGGGGTGTTAGTGCGTGCGAGTAGGCGCTCGATGTTCCTATCCGGAACGCTTCCACCGGCTTCTTGGAAGACCTGGCGCCATGCCGCCACCATCTCTTTGTGTCGCGAATGCAATCTGCTGTCTGCTGCATTTGCCAAGCGTGCGTGCCCATGCGGATCGGGTCCATCGAACGTACACGCCACACCAAGCCGTCGTCGCACAGCACACTGCATCAGATCGTTCGCAATGGTTAACCCCTGTGTGGTTGGATAAACCAGAAGCCATACCGACGCACACGCACCCATGCAAGAGTATATTCGGGCTTTACTTGTGGAGACAGCGTTTCGCCGAGCCCCTGGGGGTGCTAAGTCCCGTAATAATTCTGCGTGCGTGGCTCGCTCGATCGGCGCAGACGCATGGTATTGCCATCCATGACCGTGCTCCCCAAGACACACCTCGTGTTGTTCGATGTCTGGCGGCTGAGCCCCCGACGCCAATTCGGCCCAGGATGGTCGGCCCCTCAACCCTGCAAGTGCGCTCAACCGACCTCCTTGTCCAGCATTTTGGAGACATGCCGGGCCACCAGGTGTGTCATCAGGTGCCGCGGCATGTAGCACAGTCAACCGATGCAGTATTTGATTACCAATATCCGGGAATCGTTGGATGATTTCTGGCATCGCATCTGCCCAGCTTCCCCAGTACGCCGCCGTGCTTGTACGGAGTGCGCTCCGCAATCCCATTCCACCCATCCGTAGTGGCAGCGTTGTTTGTCGCACCATGTTTTCATAAGATATCCCGTGTAACAATGCGTCCCAAGACGTGTCAGCTGGAGTATTGAAGATCGATCGAAACGTTGCCAAAATGGCAGCATCGTGGGATGCAGCCAGTGGTCGGACCAAGGCTGGAGGTGTCGTGCGCAAGATATGGTTAAGCCTCGGGACAGCACAGAATCAGAGCCCCGAATCATCAGGGGTAACTCGGGTCAGGGATAACTCGGGTTCGTTTTTCGGGAATCCAAACCCGAGTTACCCCGGACCCGAGTTACCCCGGATATTTCGGGCGTCCAGAGCCCCGAATCATCAGGGATAACTCGGGTCAGGGATAATTCGGGTTCGTCTTTCGGGAACCCAAACCCGAGTTACCCCGGACCCGAGTTACCCCGGATAACTCGGGCGTCCAACAGAAGTACAATAGTAGCCAAGCCACTTGCAGGTCGGAGAGCTTTGTAATGTATGTAAGCAGCTTCGTCCGCTCTGTAGTTAGATTGGCACCAAAGTTAGTGATGTAGTGTGGGCTACCAATTGGGGCTCCTAGCACGCGAACGCCCCGTTCCTTTTTTTATTACATCACGCAGCGCACGCACTTTGCAAAGTGCCATCCTGAAAACCAAAACGGGGTGAAACTCCGGCCCAGCGAAGCCACCAGAGTGCAGCTAACCAGCGAAAAAGGAGGAGGAGGAGGAGGAGGAGGAGAGAGGAAGAAGAGGCACCGACCGTGCCCCGTATCCTACGCAACCATTGGCAGCTCACCGATAGGGCACTCAGGTTCGATCTGCGTGGTAGGTAGGTCGGCATGCTCATGTAAAACGGCATGCGCCACGGATCGTTGCAAGGTAGTACCTAGTAACCCCCACCATCTGTGTAGTAACCCCATAGTAGTGCCTTTTCTGATCCGTAGTGGTAGTTATCTGCATTTCTCTCGCGTCAAGGCCGGCACCAATTCCACCGCTTGATTTCCACATCTTCCGAAGACTTCGCATCCCAAGCTGTGTAAAGATCCTAGTAACCCGGTGGTAGTGACTTCACGATAAGTTTCGTTGTTTTCGCGTTCGGCTTGCTCCAGAAGCCCACCAGATCTATTGTTGGCCCCTGGTCGCGGCATCCCGTTCCTCTTGAGAGGCGACAGGATGGTGACGTCACAGGAGAGCGGCAAACCTCGCGCCACATTCAGGCAAGATGCTATCAGATCCAATCGTCGTTGATCAGCTGGGGGTACAGGCACGTGCGTTTCCCGCAGGAGTCGTTCGACGTTGCGGTCTGGGATCATAGCGCCTGCTTCGGTAAGGACTTGTCGCCAAGCTGACACCATCCACGTATGTCTCGTGTTGAGCCTGGCGTTGTGGTTCGATGTCATTTTTGAATGTCCATGTGGGTCTTCCCCGTCACACAGTACGCCGATACCCAGCCGTCGTCTGATTGCACACACCATATGTGGGTTGTGTAACGTCAGGATATCTGTGGCTGGGCAGACTGAGCCGGGTAGCCGCATACAGGCCCATATATGATCGTAGACATGTTTTCCCAGTTGTGGCAGCGTTTCGGCGAGCTCCGTCCCCGCCCCCAAGAGTACGCACCAGGGACGCGTAGGCAACCGATTCCAGTTTGTAAGATGCATGGTATTGCCATCCGTGGGTCCAATCACCGAGCTCCATGCTGTTGTGCGGTGGTTCTGGGGCCCGCCCTCTTGCGGCCAAAGACTCCCAGAAAGGGCGGTTCTGCCACCCAGCATTGTGGCAAGTTCGCCCCGCCGCTTCCACTGCTGCCAGGCATGCGGGGTAGTTGTCGAATGCTTGAGGGTTTT